CGCTCCTCCCCCCCCCCCCCCCCCCCCCATCATCCTTTTGATAAGCCTTTATCCTGCTGTGTCATGGCAGGTGCAGAATGCCATTCCGTGTATGAACTGTTGTTTCTGCCCCTAGAAGGAAGGAACGGTACTTTTGGATTCTTCATGGCTTTCCATTGACTACTCTTGTCATTTATTGTACCCGCAGAGGACACGGCCTCAGATTTTTGCTGCGTGATTGCCAGTCTGGTGCAGGTCATGATGGATTCCTATTATCGTACTCGAGCAGGCTTCCAGAGCCTCATCCAGAAGGAGTGGGTGATGGGAGGACACAGTTTTCTGGACCGATGTAATCACCTCCGTAACAGCGATAATGAGGTACGTAGCGTACTGAACTTAATACACATAAATTCTCCGACCTTCTCTACACTTTACTCACCGGCCCCTAGCCCCGGGGGGGAAATGGTGTGGTGGGTAATCTGTGGGAGTGGATGGTTCATTGTCATTTGGTTCAGGGGGTGTCTCATATGGGATAATGGACTTAGAGTGGCCATAAACTTTTTGAACGCCAACAAAATGGTCAGTGGGTCTCTTCTCAAAATGAAGAGCGAAGGAAGCAGTTAAAGGAGAACTATGACATGAGTGATTTCCACTCACCTCATAGTTCTAGCCGACCTGTGACAATGAGACTGTCACAGGTCGGCTCAGTAGATCGGGAGGTGAGAGAACACAAACCGGGTTCCCTCACCTCTCGATCCTGTCACGGCTCTCTGCCGTGACAGAGGGAGGGGCTCGATTTCCCCTCTCCCCGCTCCGATCTGCCAGCGCTGACTGGCGGAACGGACGGGGGAGGGGGGCGGGTACAGCTGGCTCTGCCTCTAGATAGGCAGAGCCAGCTGTCACTCACGCAGCTGGGCGGATGCCGTCATCTAAGTCGGGATCCGCTCCGGCTGCAGCGTCTCAGTATACCGCGAGCTGTAGCTCGCGGTATACTGAGCTTAGGGTAACAGGAGGACGCTAGTTTGTGTCCTCCCGTCACCCTAAGGAGAACTATGGGGAAAAACACTGACCCCATAGTTCTCCTTTAAGTGAATATGAACTACAGAGAGCAGATAGACCTTCTTGGGAAACTTCTGCCCATCTGTCGGCAGTTTTTAATGGAATATGATGTGTAATGTAACACTTCGGTTATGCTTTGATGTTCACTGGAGTTCTTTGTAGTGGAGATACAGGTAGCAAGTTTCTGCATGCTTGAGGGCTCTTGGCTCATATTGGCAACTTTGTATTATCTGAATTGGGATCGAAACAGCATTAGTTGCCTGATCATACTTGTTTTGCAGCACCGCTAGATTATTCAGGAGTTCCTATACAAATGCTGATTTTTCAGAAAGTTGGCTTTTCTATAGACTTGGACACACACCCAACTGCTCAGACAAAACTGCTGAACATCATTCGGTTATAAAAGACGCAATGAATTTGCATCTGTGTTCATGAATGCATCATTAAATTAATTATTTAAATGCATGTGGTGTATGTATCTGAATTTGACTTGGAATCAGTATTTTTGCATTCCTTGTACAGCAAGGATTAGACTGGGAGAGGAGTTAAAGGGAATCAATCCGAGCAGAGCGACACAGAAATTAGTTCATCACTGTCTAGTCACAGGATTGGGGACAGGCATTGGCTGTAAGTGTTATTTAACAACAAACAGAGATAATCAGGTCCTCAGCACTGCCAGGGCAGGGCTGTGCTATGTGGCAGACCTGTTTTCATCTCTGGATTGGATGGCTAGAAATACAAATCCGGTAAAATATCTCCCAAATCTGTATTTTGTCTATGTATTTACAGAAGTGGTATGTCTTGTTTTGGGATTTAAGCCCTGCATTGTGAGGTGGCATAGAGGCAAGCCTACTCCCCCAGACCCCAGAAGTCCCAGTGCCCCTGGGAGGGAATACCTTATGGTGCCCACTGCCCAGCACTTACTTGATCTTTGTTCCATATAAATATGCAGTGCACAGAATGCTGTGATTGTCCTCCGTGTGCACTCTCCTTTACTGTTTCTAATTTGGTTAGGAAACTACATTTTGTATGTGTACAATTTCTATGTTACCACCGTGTCAAGGTAAATGTATGTCTTAATCTCTGCTGTGTTTCTGTAGCAACATGTGTTTTGAGCGGGCTCTTCAGATAATGTCTAAACGGTGACTCTAAGGCCCTATTTAGACAAACGTTCAAAATGGAGCTCCTGGTGATTGTTTCTGACTCTCGCCAGGAGACCCATAACACACACAGGAGCAAGTTCGGCTCTGAAGTGCAGTTACCAGACCTTTAAAGAGCAACTCCAGATAACAGATAAAACCAACCTGTGAACTGCTAATTGTGTACATGAAACACCAAAGGTGTGCTAATATTAAAACATCCAGTCAATTTTATCTTCCTTTGCAGACAGATTTTTCTGACTTCTACAGGGATTGTTGGTTGGCCTTCAGTCTCCTGTCATATGGTTCTGTGTTGGGGAGCCCCCTAATCTTACTCTTGATCTGTGGAGGAAGAATGGTGGCAGGAAATTCTCAGTGTGCTGTTGTTCATTCTCAAATACTGACCAATTCACAAAATAAGTTTCAAAACAAAATAATCCACACAAGGGACTTGCACTATATAGCAAAATGTTTGTGAACACCTGACCTAAGTGAGCTTGTGGACATCCAATTCCAGGTCAGGAATGGAAGTGATGTTGGAGAAGACGGCCTGGCTCCAAATTGGTGTTCCAGTTCATCCTGAAAGTGTTCAGTAGGGTTGAGGTCAGGGCACTGTGCAGACCATTCGAGCAGCTTTACACCAAGCTCATCAAACCATGTCTTCGTGGAGATGGCTTTCTTCTGAGGGGCGCAGTCATGCTGGAACAGGAAAGGACCTTCTCCAAACTGTAACCACAATGTTGGCAATATACACTTGTTAAAATGTATTTCAATGCTATAGAATTAACAGTACTGATCACTGGAAACACCTAAGCTCCAAAATCTGGAGGGGTGTCCACATATATTTGGCCATATAATGTACGTCTGCATGAGCACGGTAGCATTACAACTAGTGGAACAGCCTGGGACCTCCGTTTGTAAGTACGAGTCGTATGTAACTCGGATGTTCGTAACTCGGGGACTGCCTGTACTCAAAATATGGTGGAAATTCAGAGGTTTACTCCCAATCTTTACAAAGGATCGGTCAGGGTCAGCAGAGTAGCTGTTTGGACTATATAGTTTTGTGTCGCCTGTTGCACTTTGTTAATAGAAGCAATCAAAGAACTTTTGAAAAGAAGTCCTTTGTGTTGATTAGTTATGCCTTTGATGGATGTAACACTTTGTAGCTGTGAAGGTGTAAGCATTTCAAAGGGCACGGTTTTTAGGAAGTGTGTGATCTGCCTGGAAACATTTTCAAAGTACGTTAAGTGAGAACTGTATGGATCAATAGAAGATGACTGATGGACTGAAGATTAAAGCCAACCAGCAGTTAGGTCATGTCCACTAATTCAGTTGTAATGTTGGAGCAAAGTCTACTTAGAAAACGTCATTGTTGGCTGGTTAGTTCAGTAGCACCGTTTCCTGTACAGTATCAGGTCTGTCCGGCTGCAACACTAGACGTTCCATGAAATGCTTTCTTCATGTCTAACCAATGTTTCTTGTATGTTTGCTCCGCAGGCTCCGGTCTTCCTGCTCTTTTTGGATTGTGTGTGGCAGCTGGTACAGCAGTACCCGCTTGCGTTTGAATTCTCCGAGACGTATCTGACTGTCCTGTCTGATAGCATCTATATCCCCATCTTCAGCACATTCTTTTTCAATTCGCCGAACCAAAAAGACACACACAAGTTGGTAAGTAACCCCTGACTTTCTGCTGATGGCTTTGTCTGACACTCCAAAGCAGCCAGCGTATAAGAACCAGAGATGGAAGCTACAGGTTGGAGTACAGAGGCAGGGTGCTCAGTCTGATCCAGAATATCTTCAATAAAGCCTCACATACTTATATACAACTAGAAAAAGTGTGACTGTTGGGTCACAACCAATGTCGGGTGATATAACAGAGCCATCAAATATCATTTTAAAGTTAGGATCAAACACTATTCAAATCGTATTATTATAATACAAGGGAAGGCAAACTCTGGCCCTCCAGCTGCGGTGATCCTACAAAAGCCATCTTGCATCTGGAAGTCATGCCTGTGGCTGTCAGTCTTGCAATGCCTCATGGGATTTGTAGTTGCACCACAGCTGGGGAGCCGGAGTTTGCCTACCCTTGTTAAAGAGCATTTATAAGATTACTGCCTGTTCCTGATCAGCTGAACTCTGAAGAAGTCATTGGTTACTGTCACCGATACTCTACACAGCCATTGTCACAACTTCCTGTAACCTCATCCTAAAAAGTTGTGTCTTGTCACTGCACATGTTTTGGTTTTTTTAATGCAGTTTTGACCTCTCTCATCCATTTTTGCATCTCAGTGCTGCTGGTCCTCTCAAGCCTCTGTGTACATGCACTCACCCCAGCTTCTGCTGCATGTCATGTTCCTTTTTTTTAAGCAGTAGTATGGCTGCGACAAAACCACTGCTTTATAAATGGACCCTTTTTAAAGTGTATATAAACCCTCACAATGATCTTATTTACTCCTTGTTTATCTGTCAGATATACCATCGAAAGTGTTTTGTGATAGTTGCAAAAATATATCTGCTGATCCTGCCAGGAATCTAGTCCGCTAATATCATTCTACATTCCTATGGTGCCCTTTTATTAGTAAACATTATTTCCAGTTCTCAACATGGCCTACAGAACACCTCCCCTATGTTTTGGATAGGGGCTGCTCTGCAGTCCTGTCTTAGGGTGACAACGCTGCTTCTCCAAAGATGCAGCACAGTGAGTGCCGTCACCTGAGGACAGGAAGAATCACTGGCCGGATCACCAGGGGGAAATAAAGAGGAACAAATCCTGAAAAAATACTAATGTGGCTCCCACATCTACGGTCACACATAACGGGAGAGGCAGCACTGTGCCGATGTGAAGTATCACAGTGTACAGACACAGGCGGGGCAGGAGAAGCTCAGTCTAATGTGCCAGCTTAGTCAGCCCAGTTGGTGATGGAGAAAGAGAAGAGAGTGGAGGTTTAGGGTTTCCTGTTGCGTACATATGAGAGGTCTCAGTGATGATTTAAATGATGCAAGATCTGTCATTTTCCAATGTGCAGGAAGTCGGTGCCAAACTTCCTAAATGTGTGTGCTTCTCTGGTAAAGGAGGAAGTGATGTATGGTATACTTGCACTGATAGGATTGGCAAAAGGTGGAGGAGTCACTGCTTTGACTCAGTCCTGTGTGTGTGAATTTCAGCTAGGGAGATTGATCTCTGTAAATAGCTCTCTTTCAGCAAAGCAGCTAACAAAGAGCATGGAAAGGGTGAAAAGACAACAAGAGCTCCACCTGCTGGATGGGGAATAAATTATTCATATGCTATATTTTTATATTGCGATATTTCATGTTTATTGGACTTAAAGAAGTATATTGTTAACTTTATTTCATAATAAAGATCGAAAGTATGTCTACAAAATCACTATACATTCCCTGGACCTCACCTTTCTGCCACACATCCAATCACTATCCAAATTCTGCCGCCTGCACCTTCGTAACATCTCCAAAATACGCCTCTTCCTCACCAATGGAACCTAGAAATTACTCATCCACTCACTTGTTATCTCTATTCTTGACTATTGCAGCTCCCTCCTCATTGGGTTACCTCTACACAGACTCCTCCACCCTTCAGTCTATCATGAATGCTGCTGCTAGACTCATCCACCTAACCAACCACTCAGTGTCTGCAACCTCCCTCTGTCAATCCCTCTACTGGCTTCCAATCACCCAAAGGATAAAATTCTAAATATTAACTATGACTTACAAAGCCATCCACAACTCGGCCCCCCGGCTATATCTCAAACCTGGTCTCAAAGTATCACCCTAACCATCCCCTCTGCTCTTCCAAAGACCTCCTGCTTTCCAGCTCCCTCATCAACTCCTCCCATGCTCACCTCCAGGACTTCTCTAGAGTCTCTCCCATCCTCTGGAACTCCCTACCCCAACCTGTCTATCTCCCACTCTGACTGCCTTTAGGGGATCCCTGAAAACTCATCTCTTCAGGAAAGCCTATCCCACCTCAATCTAACCACTGAACCATCATGTTCTCAAACAATTCATGCCCACACAGCTCCCTCCTCATGTATCACTTCCCCCTCCCATGTAGATGTGTTAGCTGATACGGGCAGGGCCCTCCTCACCATCTTGTATTGCAACTGTATTGTAACTGTAATGCCTTCCTTATATTGTAAAGTGCTGTGCAAACTGTTGGCCCTTTTCTAAATCCTGTATTATAATAATAATAGTCTGAAGTGCATGTTTCAGCCTCCTAGGGAGATGAGCTCAAATCAGTCGACTCTCCTGCAAAGATCAGGCCACGTATGACTCCATCTTTTTGAGAAGGGCTGGTAGATGTAGAATATGATCATTCACTATAATGAGCATTACAAGTGAGCCATTATGCCGTCACGGAGGGTAATTTAGAGATTTAGACAAAGTTTGCTTAAGCTGAGACCTGGTTCCTTATGGAATCTGAGAGCGCTCTGCTTTTTCTTGGCAGATTGAGGACGGGTCGGGTAAACAAAGGGAGCCTTTGAGCTTCTACACGGTCTGGAATTGGTCAGTGCAGTTTGAATTGAAGGCTCTGTCCTTCTTAAACAACCCGCTCTACGTGGAGAAGTCAAAACAAGATAAAAGTCGCAAAGGAGCACGTGCAAAGGTAATTTGTTATATTGTTTTAGTCTCTGTGAATATTTATATAAATGTTCATGTTATTACTTTACGCTCAATACTTAGATTTTTTTTTTTTTTTTTTACCTTTTTATTACCCTTACAGGGCCTATCTGAGCTGTGCATTTCAAGAAACCCTTGTCGGGTTTTTTTTTGTTTATCCAATTTAAAGCTTCCTGCAGAACAGAAGAACCTGTCTGGCGGACTGTGTCTCCTACCTCCTTTCCGTTCTAGTGCTGCAGCCTCGGTAATATTCCTTGGCATTCCACACTTCCAGGAGAGTTAGGTGCTTGCATCCCCTGCCATGAGTGCTGGTTCCTTCCTCTGAACCCTATGTGGCTGCTGAGGCTTATACTAACATGGGGGGAGAGAGAACGGAACCAGCAGAGTGTGGTGAAGCATACAGGCATCCAACAGTCCGAGATGTGTTGAATACAAAACAGGCCTATGGAAGCTGCAGTGCTGTAAAGATAGAATGATAGAGAGGTGGTTATAAATGCTCTCCTATTGCAGGGACCTTTTAATGTAGAGTATTTGGGAACATGACAGGGTCTCCTTAGAGCAAATCAATCATCTGTAAAGCAAATAACCTTTTTGGTGCCATTACTAACCTGTAGCACTCCTGTTCACCACTCCTGATCTGCCCCATTGAAATTCTATATATGGGGAACAATGCATGTGGACCGTGGCTTCTCGGCTGAATTGCCATTTGGCAAAAAGACAGGGAGAAGTGTTGGGGTGTATTTCATTTGGTAATGATTAGGGATGCACCCGATACCGGTTTTTCGGTATCAAGTATGAGTACCGATATTTTTTTTCCGGTACTCGCCGATACCGAAAGTCCCATCAAGGAAGCCGGGCAGCGTGTAAAGACTCACCATCTGGCTTCCCGATTAGCAGGGAAGCTGTCTCCATGCTTCTCGTCACTAGGGCGTCTGGACCGGGCGTCGTGTAATGATGCTGCGCCCGTCTTCCTGATTGGCTGGGAAGCCGGCTCCATGCTCTCACAACACTAGGCGACGAAGGAGCAGCAAGCCGGCTTCCCGGCCAATCAGAAAGTCGGGCGCTGCGTCATTACACGGCGTCCGGCTTCCCGATTGGCCAGCTTCCAGAGCAATCAGGAAGCCGGGCAGCGTGTAATGACTGCCCGGCTTCCTGATACCGGAAGCTGAAGTATCAGGCTAGGCATCAGAGCATTTTGGGCGAGTACGAGTACTCGCCCAAATATTTGGCATTGGCACAGATACTAGTATCGCTGCATCCCTAGTAATGATGGGTGTGCTTTAAAGCCCAACTTCAAGATTCTCTACCCCTCCTTTTATTCCAGTGACAAGGGCACCATAAGGTACAGTGCACATTACAAATCCTGTTGAGTTTTGTTATGGTATGCATTGTTCTTGCTCCTCTCCAGTCCAACTGAAGATTATAAAATGGTGTTTATTATGTTTGATTCCATATGAATCTAAAAGGTGTACACAAAGTCAACGTGCTTCAAATAAATCCATCACATGGCAATCGTCTGCATAGTTTGAATGTTTAATTCTTATCATTGTTTTGTATTTTTGCAGCATCAAAGACAGTTGTCTCTGCCGCTTACACAGTCGAAAGGTTCTAACAAGAAAGGATTCTTTAGGGAGGAGACTGGACCATTCATAAGAAGTCTCCTTGGTAAAAGAATTAGCAAACTAATAAGCGCCTCTGATGAGGTGCCAAGTAACTACAAAATGTTCTACGAGAACTGGCATAGGAAGCCTATAGACTTCCATGGATTGATCCTGCCATATATTGAAGGACCCGAAATCAAAATCTGGGCCCAGCGCCATCTTCGATGGATCCCGGAAGCACAGGTTCTTGGTGGAGGCAATGTTGCTGCCATGCAGAGAGTGTTGGAGCTAATGGATGAAATCCAGAGTCTGAAGAAAAAGGTGAAAGAGAGGCCGACCGTGAACCTTACAATACACAAGGAGAATGACGTAGACAGCAGGCGTAAAAAGTCCGTCCGGCGCTCCTCTCTGTTTCCGTTTGCTTTGCTTCACGTAAGCTCTTTCAGACCCTGCATATCGACCACCCCGTGGCGCAGTTGGGAAGCTGAAGATGAACTTGTTAATAGGGATGATGAATATGTTGAGTTGGGCAGTATATGATTTGATGTCCTCTGAACCTGTTATACCACAAATGGTTATCTTCAGGAAGCTGTTCTTTATTCTCATTACTAGATGTATAATTTATTTCCAGAGATTCCGCTTTTATATGTTTTCTACATGTATTTGACGACCTAGCCAATCTGCAGGTTAAAAACCAAACGCCTTGTTTACAAAGCAAGTTGAAGAAGAGGTTTGAGGTTTAGTAAGATACAAGTGTTTGGGATAAAATTGGATAGCCCACAAATCGGCACTGAACACTTCACAGTCTCTTCATGGGTAGCCTAAGGGACTGTACACCGTGGTATTAGTGGTGGGCTAAGGCAGTCCCTGGCTTATGTCTTGGATACTCCAACAAGCTCTCCATGTCATAGTTCCTGACTGTGTCCACATGGCAGTTTTGGTTATTCCTACACACCTTTGCATTCTTCCTGTTGTGTTTTCCATGATACAACATAAATAGAAAATCCTAGCAAGGACTGTGGGTGGAAGCCTCTCATAATAGGTCACAGCCCGTGTGCCAACTCGGGAGTTCCACATAGAGATCTCACCTGCAGAGTTTCTTGGTGATGTAATAAGATGTCAGGTGATTTTACTCTGGAGATTCTGGCAAAAAACTAAAATCAGTTTTAGGCTTAATGACTCCTTAAAAATACTGTACCTGCCCAGCGCTGTTATATGATTCTGCCTCACACCTGAGTTTAATCAGACTGATTGTGATTCTAATAACTCTAGGGCACCTTTTAACTCCAGTAGGTATCATCGTTCTGATTTATTTACAGCATAATACTTAGGCTAGGTTCACACCTGGGTGTATGGAATATGCGCGTTTCACCGCGATTTGCGGTAAAAGAATCGCAAGACAAACAAGCGTTTCCTAGGGCTATCCGGCTGTATCCTAATGGATACGCGCGGCAAATACGCCCCGAAGAAGCTCCTGTACTTCTTTGGGCGTAGGGCGTTTTACAGCGCGTTCCTATGCGCTGTAAAACGCCCAGGTGGGAACCATGCCCATAGGCAATTATTGGTTTTCACATGTTGAGCGTTTTACATCGCGTAGGAACGCACTGTAAAACGCCCAGGTGTGAACCCAGCCTAATGGGCAGGCTGTAATTATGTTGGTCCTCTGTGTCCCAAGCTTTGTTCATTTGTGTACCATCATCATAACCTTTGATTTATCCAAGTACCACCTTAATATGTTGTTAGGTGTATCATCCACCAGCACTTTTACCCTAAGGAGAACTATGGGGAAAAGCCTTAACCCCATAGTCCTCCTTTAAGTGCACTTGATGTCACAGCATAGACTTTACCAGGAACTCGTCCACAAACCCGTACTCCATTCCACCTCCCTTAGCATTTCCTATGCACATCTTCTTTCTTTCTTACTTTCCATCCCAACTCTGTGCCTTCTAGAGGAGTCAGTGTCCAGCAAATAGATTGTCCTCAACAAAATGGAACTATATACATGCAGTCTGTCAAGTCACTATTCTCAATTTAGTTCTTGTCCCTGGTACCAAACATTAGCGAGATCAAACCTTCTCCCTCAATCCGGAGTCCTGCTGTGGGAAACCAACAGTGATGATCTGTTCCACCAATAGTGCACATTTCACTTGATTTGCCATTTTTCCATACAGTGCAGAAAAGATGGGTTGAGATTTTAATGCAATATTAATATGAAGCACCCCGGTGCCTGGATATGCAACTTATTGTCTGAGAATGCAAGCTCTACTTGAAGGAGGTTAACTGCAGGTCCAATGCACATGTCAATGAATAGCAAAGCGTCTCATACTAAGTCCATTGAACAGGCCCTAAATCTTTTCAGTGCTGTCAGGGTACCGCTATATTTAGACATGCACAGAATGTGTGCTGCTTTACGTCTGCCAAAAAGTCCATGCTTTCCTAAGGCAAATGATGGGTGAAGGGTATGTTATGACCCCTGTATACACTGCCCACGTTCTGTGCCCTACATCTGCCCCTCCACCAGCTGTGGAAGGGACAGCACCCTGGTGGACAATAAGGGCTAATATATATATATATCGGCTTTATAAGGTTGTGAAGTGTCTATGTTCTAGTCAATAGGAAAACATTGCTTTTCCTAGCACTGCCACCTTCGTAACCATTCGGGCATTCGGAACACCAGGGGGGGTTGCTGCTTATAATTATAATCTTATTTATATCCTGGGTCCATATGTACAATACCTAGGAAAAAAATGACCCTAAAATAAAAGTTATACTCACCCGAACCTAGGAGCTGGCCGGCTGTCACAGTGCTCCCTCCTGCCTGTCTTCTGCTATGCTGCAGCGATGGTATATCCCTCTGCATCCTTGTGTTCTACACAGTGTATATAGCACGTGATGACTGGCAAGACCTTAAACTGCTGCAGTGGAGGGGACCAGTCTAAGAGGCAGTTGTCTAAGAGGATCTGGTGTGTAACCTTTTATTTTAGTCCCTAGATGAAAATGAGCAGTTAACCCTTGCGGTGCGGGGGTAGCCCTACTGCAGGAGTTAATAAAACATTTTCCCCGAGTTCTTTAATGCAAATTTCAAAGCAGCTGTCACCTCAGCTCCGTTCTGAACTGAGCCATCCAGCTTAATAGAAAAGTCATACACAGAGGTTTAGGTTGGATGAAGTGTTAGAGTTTCACTGGTGAGTTGTTTTTGATTTTTTAATGGAGTGGGGAAGGATTAGTACTGCTATCTGGAGCTTCATTGGGGGGATCTAGCACCTGGCTGCTTTAGACTGCTCGGATTAGTCAATGTCCCTGATTCCCTTACTTCCTGTCTGGTGAAAATCTCTTGAGTGAGGTGCTAATTCTTATCCACTCCATCCAAAAACAAAGATAAAAATGGCGGGCTTGCATCTCTTTTGCTACTGACTACTTTTTGCCCATTATCTCTTTTGCAGAACATTGATAAACATGTGTTGCAGATTAGTACTGCCAACCTGTAGTTAAATCTGTGTGTAGCAAAGAGACTTACAGGCCTACTCACAAGCGGGTGAAGGGTTTGGAGAAGGCAGGAGAAGTGAACAATCTAGGACAACATAGCTGAACTGGAAAGTGATCTGATTTGGAGAATTTTTCCAGTTCAGCTATGTTGTCCTAGTTTGTTCACTTCTCCAAACTCTTCACCCGCTTGTGAATAGCCCTGTAAGTCATTCATGTAGCCATAGACTCACTGTTCTGAGTTCCGACAGTAAGGACTCGTTCCCACAGATGCAAATACAGGCATATAAGGATACAGCTGTATTGGCGGCAGCCAGGAGCCCGAGGTGCAGTGTTTTTGTTTCCATAGGATTGTAATGGTAGAATATGATGTATATGGGTAAACGCAAATACTGGCACACAGAAGTTTCATGTTTGGGAACTTGCGTCGATACGTGTGCACATGTCAACACCAGTACTTGCGTTTACATATTTATACATGAGTAGTGTTTTCTGTCCATACCATCCTATGGACACCGAAACATTGCAGCTGGGGCTCCTGGACCCTGCAAACAGGCCTGTTTTACACTGTATGCCCATACGTCTGTATTTGCATGCCAGGGAATAACCCCTAACGGTGACCATACACGGCCTAATCCTGTTGCCAATTTAACATTCCACAACAGCCATTTAGAGTTATCTTAAGGGTGTTGAAGACCTTTTAGAAGTGCAAGTTATTACCTGCAGGTACTCCCTACTGAGAATAGGGAAGGAAATAATGACTGCGTGCAGCTTCTGTCCATCAGCTAAGTTGCAGGACACGGAGCAGTGGGCACTGGCAATTAAGAATGGGCCAAACTGCCAATTTGTGGCCATTTGGCTTCTTTAGGGACTAATAGACATGAGAATATTGTAGCTTGGCTTAGCCAAAAAGGCAGCAGCAGCACCTCTGGATACTCATTTCCCGGGGAGAGATCAGTTGGCCATGATGATATTTCCATTAGACATTCCTTGTCATTGTGCTAAAGCATTTACATATACAATGTTGGGTCGTTAAAAAAAAAAAAAATGTATATTGTCATATATTGTGTCTGCCCATTAGATGGGTATATGAGGCGCCACAATCCTATAGCTCTAAAAGATGATGTGGTTGGGGGGTGACAGATAAAACCCAAGCTGTCTCCGGGGAATCTGGACTTCTATAAAAGTGTAACATAAGGAAGAGGAGGCTACAGAGTTACAGAGGGCCTTATTCTGTGTCTCAGATGTAGAATCTCATTCCCCCTATAATACTTCGCTATATGTCCAAAGCCAAACAATATTCTTTTTTATAGATGTAATAATTCAAGTTGTAGATAATGTGGTTTAGATAGTTTCAACTTGTAACATATTTTCTGTTTCTTGGATCAATTATTGACAAATTTTGCATTTGATTTCAGATTTATTACAAACACAAATGTTATAGTTTTTTCTTGTGTAAAGCTTCACTGTGAGTCCACAAACGTGCTGGTGCGCGTTAAAGGGGACCTGTCATTTGATTGCCAACATTCCTTAATAAAAAATAAAATTTAGGGCACAATTGGCCCTCGTCAATGTTCCTTCCAGGCTCTATTCAGGAGTGTGGTAAAGTGGAGCTCCAGCCTGTGGGTGTAGAAGAGAAGACTTGGAACCTCTGTCAGGTTTTTTTTTTGGGCGATTTTATTATTTGGTGTCCATATAGAGGAAATTTCCCTTCACTAGTCCTAAATACACAACACATTGGGAAGAACTAACAGAGAGTGGCACAGACCTAAAGCTTCCACCATTCTTCTAAACTGAAAAAATGGAACATATCCTGCTCCTAATTAAACGCAAGTGATCGGCTCCGTTTTCTATGTTGTGTCTGTGCCAGGAGAATTAAAGCTCCTTGCTTTGCCTTCCTCTACCCGCTGCCCTGCTCAGCTGAGAGGGAGGAGGAAGACTTAACTATGCGTTTTCCAAGGTTAATAGTTGGGTATATAGTAGGGATGCACCGATACCAAGTACAGTACTTGGTGCAAATACAGATACTTTTCCAGCTCCAAGACTAGACTAGAGAAAAATTCAATAGTTAGGAGGCCGCTGTCATTTGTAAGGAGCACACAGAGCTCCTGGGATTTGTGCATCTCTGTTTTATTGTATGACTTTGTTTTTATAAATATATGTAAGGGATGCACCAATGCCATTTTTTCATCTACAAGTACTGATACTTGTCCAAGTCCTCACAGAT